ACGGACGGTGGGCACCCACATCCTTGATGCGAGTGGTCTTGGTGGCCTCGGCGCGTTTGGCAGCAAAGGCAGCCCATGGAAATCGGTCGACGGCGGCGAGGTGGCAGTCGTAGCCGAAGCTGCAGAGCCACGGGCGCGAGGGAGCGAGCGTGGGTTGACGTTTTCGGACGATCCAGCGTCACCAACACGATCAGGTAACGTGGCTTGGGATGATACATCACTTCGCGCATCGCCAGGGCTGACGGTGTTGGCGGTGGATAGGCCTAGACGGTCAGAATCGTCGTTGGTGGTCACCGGCGGCCCCGAATCGTGATCGTCGACGCCCATGACGTCGCTGGCCACTCTGGTAGGTCCGGTGGATGGTGGTGAGGCTGACCGGTCACGCAGCATAGGCGCAGGAGCGGTTGCAGCACTCGCGGTGGTGGTCCCAGGCCGGCTAGCCATGGCCAGGTGGTGGCTCAACGTCGTCGAAGGACCCAACTTTGCACCCGTGGCGCCGTTTGAGGTGCCGTTTGGCACACCGACAGGTACCATGGGACCCGGGGAGGTGGGTTCAAATCCCGCGTAGGGTATTAGTTTGGGGGAATAATGGGGCACATTAGAATCAGCACCGCTAGAACTGCGAAAGCGACCTTGGTGTAAATATTCTGTTGTGCAACGTTACTTCGCATTCTGGGATGGGTACCTTCGGGAAGCCATAATTCCCAAGGGATCGATCCCAATTTGTCCGCAAGCTCGAAATGGATGGGTCAGATGTTTTCTATTTCCGTCCTAACTGTTCAGAAATTTTGGCGTGGATTAGGCATTTTTTGTCTGGAATTCGGTGAATTGTGAGTTATGCTCGGCGAAGTTTTTGTGGAACTCGGGATTTGTATTGTGTTATTAGGTCGTGTGTGTATTTCGTCAAAATTTGTGTTTTTTTCGGTCGTTTCTGTGTGTATTTCGTTATTTAGTGTGTGACAAATGAGGTCCTCCGCTTGTGGGGTTGGACGACAGTCGATATCGTCGGGGATGACGGCCGCTTCAACTGACTCAACGGGGTTTCGGGGTCTCCGCGTTGTGACGGGTCAAAGACAACAACGACGACCGTTTCTTCTTCCCTGCTGCTCCTGTCGTAGGAGCCATGACTCGTAAGTTGGAAAATGCCCTATCCAAATGACCACAAATCGACGATCCTATCAACTGGCCGAAGTCAACTCATGTTCGTTTCTGATTGGCTGCCTGACAGAGTGATGGATGGGGACTACAGTCAGTTCCCGTCAGAATACTGTAGTCCCACGGGCTATTTTGACGGCTATTCCCTTGTATTCCGATGTATTTCGTCCAATCATCTGCCCAGTCTGAGATATTATGTCCGTCCAGTATGAGACTACCAGCACCTGGTCCGGGGTGCTGTCGTACATTTTGTCGTAGGCTCGTCGTACTGTGCTTCATGACCACTCATTTTTACGCGACCGCTTTCCGGCTCCTCCATCTGCACCACTATCCTCGGCATTGTCGATTGTCAGCGCCAGCATCACTACTTTTGTGGCGACGAAAACCGGCTACGTGCAAACTACTAGACCTTTTACCCTTTTTGACCTACCCGACACCACCTACCCAACTCCATCGATTCATTTCTAATTCGACGAGAGGGTCGAATCTTCGCCGCGGGACTTGTGACGGAGCTGGATCATGGACTTGTACTACTACATGTATACCACATCGTGGTAGCGCCATCAAACAGGTATATATTCGATGTACCGACTACCTTCGAAATCGACCGTCGTGCCTTTTAGTCTACACGACCTTTCCCAAAATGTCGCCAGCTTTAGCTAGCTTTTAGATAGTTCACTTTTACGTTGGCCTAACATTGGATCTACTCCTTTCTTGTTGTGTTCATGAACACAGATTCATCAAGCTCTAAAAAGCGATAAATCCCACGGGTGGAGTTACTCTCGCGACAACATGATTCAAAGCTGTGCATATTTGTCTGTAGGATCTATACTCCAAAGTGATATCAAGTACGCAGGGCGAGTGAGCTACAATACTTGAACACCCCTGTCTACTTTCTTACAATAGCGTTAATCATCCAATGGTTTACGCCGTGGGCGTGATATATATACCATCTACCTAGCGAGCTTAACTGCATTCTACTTGTATCTGACACTATAGAATCTCTCGACATTCATATAAGCTTAGTGTACAGTACAGTACATACATGTCGTACTAAGCTTGCTTTATTAAAGTGCCCCCCAAATGTCCCTTCGTGATGTGTCATCGCCCCTCATGTGCCTTACTACGGTAATATCAGGTTTCAGCACTCAATTAACCATCCCTACTACGCCAGTGTACTATGCTTGCTGAGCTACACTAGAATTCTGATGATAATTCATGAAATCTGACTCTGCATTCTACTATCAATAGCATAGGAAAGCTACAAGTCTCCCCGTCCTTCATATTCCATCATGCTTCGCGTATTGCTCATAACCTGTAGATAGCCCTTCATAATTCGCTGCAACGATAGGAGCAACACATGATACATTCTCATTTAAACTACATGCTGAGCACAAGCCACTAAGGCAGGGCTACGCTCGACTAGCTACAGACTTCCTGTTTCCACATTCAATTCACATGCCGTGAACCACCTCAAGCCCTCAACAATTCAATTCACATAATTCTTGTACGAATCCACAATATAGTGTAGCACTGAATTTATTCCCCCCAGCTGATTGCGGAGTCACGATGCTAGCATCGATTAATGGGTTTGTTAATGTGTGCTGGGAAACAAGCTGGTATACAGTTCAAGCTATACTCTGACCAGCATTAACATGACTGCTTCGGACATACCCCTTGATGTGGTAATAGGGACAAGTGCAATATCATACGGTAGCGTTGGGCTCCTATTTTTTACTCTTTTGTGCATGATAGGTAACGTTAGGGGGGTGGACAACACAAACACGTCGTATTAATGTAACGATGGCAAGGTTGCCGACCAAGAATACAGATTATCGCATCGTTAACAAAACGATGGCAAGACTGTCGAACAAGCTAAAGATTGACTCACCATTAACGGACAAGGCCGTTGAAGAAGCCGTAGAGAAAAAATTACTTGATGTAGCTTAGTATAGTATACATTTTCGTAGTTAGTAGCTTAAGACGACAATCTGTTCACTTTCCAATTTATTCTGTGAAGCTCGCTACCGCTACATTTGGTAGCACTTCCTGGTTCAGTTCGGCAGCAAGGACTTACACCGAGGGGCATAGCTCGGAGGTTGTAAGGTTACTCAATCTAGTTCAGGCAAAGGTTCAACGGCGACCTTTCATAGCGACTAGTGTCAATTTAGCAATCGCCTAAGTGTTTCTTTTTCCTCGACAGTACTCTCCCCAGTAGCCGATATCAAAGTCGGTAGGGGCAGAGTCGACCGTTGGGAGAGGGACATTTGGTGCGTGTGAAGAGTCACTGCCGACAAAAGGAAGCGACTGCAGCGAGTGGGAAAGTCAAAAGCGGAGCGAGCGGCAGTGGCGAGCGAGAAGGTTATCCAGCGAGACCTACGCTGCGAGGACAGCGACTTAAGTAGTAACCGAATTAAGTACGCTCTCGACGAACTTACCAAGGTTCAAGCAACTTTGAGTCTGTCGGATACGTAACCGAAGCGATTGACGCGCATCTGTTGGCGAGACCGAAGATCGAAGCGGAGAAGCCGAAGGTCGACACTAAGGAAGACTTAGTTGATTACATAGAGAGCCCGAAACCCACCCCGAAACCCCAATCGAAATCATATGGTGGAAGTGTTTGCGAGCCTAGTTGGGACTATGAAGCACCAACAGCAGATGATCCAACAACTGCTGGAGGCTAAACCCAAGCACAAGCGCAATTGTTGGCAAATCAACAAGCGCAACAGGAGAATCAACTGAAGGCGCAGCAGGACATGCAAGCAGCGCTACTTCAATGTGTGTCGAGTAACGGCGATCAAGTTAGTAGCCACGTGACACTGAAAGGTGTGTCGAGATGTTGGGCAGAGCAACGAGCAGTGGAACGCTGCCCTGCCCGGGTTTACCCCAGCTTGTTTCGCCAAATTTCTCCATTCTTGGTGGCATCGCTCTCGCACCATTACATTTCGCTGAAATACAAATTGGGCAAACACCATCCGCTGTTTTTGGCCCCCATTTTAACGTCTGGGTTACTACCAAATTTAAACGTCAACGTTTAAATGGGCCGAATTGCACAACTCAACAATAAATTTACAATCCTCTGGCATCCCACCCCACGTTGCCACAAACCGTCTGGCTACGGTTGAAAACGAATTGAAAATTGTCATTCTCTGCTAGTCGCAGGAATAGAGAACAACGAAAGCAAGCGTAGACTAGATGAGATGACGTACCCAACTATTTATGTAGAAGTATAAACTTTGAATGGCATGTGTACCTGTCATGGTTCTTGCAATGTTAAATTGTGGGTCAAAACCTGTATCGAAGTGAGGAACATATCAAGTTATAAAGGGTTTCGTAGACGTTTCGTAAACCCCTCAATATCTCTAAATAGAATGAGCCAATCAAAATTGATTTCCCTCTTTCTGTTCACGATCTAGAACAAGACGGGTATAGTTGAGTTGCGTAAAAAATCCCATAAAAGTGGTATGGTGCAAGTCATCTTAAGACTACAGATCGGCCATCCTCAGGAGGAGACGTTTTACTATTAAACGCCTTGATACTTTCAGTTAACTGTAAACCCACGAAAGTTTGACGTTAAATCAATACTACTCTGTTCCGAAACATTTGTCCGATTGGCGGAATATTTCTAATATGACGCCATTTTCTTATCTGATTGGCGCATCAAAACGCGCAAGATCTCAGCTTTGATTGGGTAGTTTTTGAACCTTCCACGTCGATTTTGTTGTTGAGATATGACCCCTCAAAGTTGGCTAGTCATCCCTAAAACACTGTCGATGACCCGCCAGTAGTTCACATTACAATTTGACATCTCCAACGTCCTACGTGCATACATATACGACCAAAACATGCCTGCTAAGCCCAACGGTAAGCATGCCGGTGCCCCCGTTGCTACCCCAAAGCCCCAGAACGGCCACAAGCACCTGACGTTGGAGGACCGCCGTGGAGTATATGAAATGCTCCTAAGCGCGTCCGTGGGTGATATGCTCCCTCGTGGAGTGATAACCAAGGCCGCACAACAGTTTGGATGCCACGTACGGACGATCTCTCGCCTCTGGCAACGTGCACGACTCTCGCTTCGCGGCGGTGGCCACACCGCCGATGTTAGCACGAAAATGCGTGGTAGTACTCTATAAATCTATAAATATATAAATTGTACGAATTATACAATATTAATGGTTTACTTGAATAGGGAATACTGGCCGAAAACCTAAGCGAACGGCTCAATAAATTGAAAGCGACATACGTGCAGTACCCCCACATGTCGCGACAGACACTTCGGTCGCTCTCTGCTGCGAGTGGAATACCCATGACGACGATCTTCCAACACAAGAAGGCCACACCAAGGTTCAAGTTAAAGTCAAGCTATGCCCTTCCTCACGCAAGGCAACATCGAAGCTCGTTTGAGGTATGCATTGTCCTTCGTTCGACCTTTGCCAAATGGACGCCACTGCTTCTCCGATATGCACGAATATGTGCATATCCATGAAAAGTGGTTCTATTTGACAAAGGTCAAGCGAAGGTACTATGTATATGATGACGAGGAAGTGGGCGCAAGATCGGTGAAGTCAAAGCATTTCATCACGAAGGTGATGTTTTTGGCTGCTGTCGCCCGCCCCCGTTACGACCATCATGCCAAGAAGATTTGGGACGGCAAAGTTGGCGTGTGGCCGTTAGTCCAAGTGTCTCCAGCCGCATGATCAAGTAAGAACCCACCCAGAGGGACGTTGATCACCGTTCCTCAAATCGTGAATTTCGACGTGTACTTCGACGCGGTGGTCAACAAGGTTGTGCCAGCAATTCAAGCAAAGTTTCCTGGTGGTAGCACGCGCGGTGATGTTTGGATCCAAGAAGATAACGCAGGTCCACATCGACGAGTCACGACAGCGTTGCTTCAAGCGCATGGTGTTAGTGGAATTGGTGTCGTCAACCAACCACCTAACAGTCCAGATTTCAACGTAGTCTTAGATTTAGGATTTTTTAATTCTATTCAAAGTCTACAGTATCAAAAGTCCACTCGTTCAATCGAGGAGCTTATTGATGCTGTAGAAAGCGCTTTCTATTAGTTGCCGACGGATACACTTGCAAAGACATTCATAACGCTTCAAAAAGTTATGGAAAAGTCCATTGAAATACATGGGAGCAATGACTACAAACTTCCTCATATGAGGAAGGATGCATCCATTGTTAACTTTGCATTGTATAATGTCGAGTGCGATGCTTCTAGGTTTATGAGAATGCGTTAACTCATTTGCATGAGCGGCTGGGCGAGGAGGACACCATGGAGGCCTTGATAAATTCTCTTGATTAAGTTGTCGACGTCAAGTTAAAAAAATACAATATAATTTTTGACGTAAATATGTTGTTTGGGAGTTGCATACAAAAATCAAGTTCTTTGGAGTGAACGTCCTATACTTAAATCAAATGAAAAATACCCTGACAAATGTTTCGGAACAGAGTAGTATTTGTTATGCTTATACCTGGTAATTGGGTTAAACGTCCTGAATATTCCGGATACAATGGAAATGTTCGCACGGATAAGTGCTGTATACAAATACCGAGATATACTTGATGCTCCTTTTCGGCGAAAATGTGCCTGGCTCCATATATTTCTGAATATTACTTGGACCTGTACCTAACTTGTTTGTTAACTCCAGCTAGGCCAACAAAAGGCTTATGCATGCATGTGATTGGTGGAAAAACCAATACTGTAGTGCCCTCACTACTTGTTCCTTCTTGTGAGCCCACATCTTCCTCTTTGTGTTAATTACGGCCGGGACGCTTGGCCAGCGTCCCTAGTTAGGCCTCGAGGTTACCTTCCTCGACCCCTTTTCTCTTCCGTTCCCTTTTCTACATGCCTCTGGCATCCACATCTTTTCCGTCCTCTTGCTAAGCTTAAGGCATAAGTATACAAGTCGGCCCATCAATGGTCGCCTGTGAAAAGCCCTCAACATCAACAATGCATTGTGCAATCATAAACTACTACGTAGTATTTAAGTGTAAATTGATACTTTTTGGGATTTATTCAAAAAATAAAATACATATATTAATAATGTTTTCACTGTAAGCTTACGAAACGAAGAAACAACTCATACTCGAAAATGAAACTCACAAGCAAAACTCGGCCCTCAACGGTCGGTCACATGATTTCAGGGTTTCAATACTACAGTGCTACAGTACTTCGAGTGAATACTAGTACATACTACTAATAGTACTCAGTACTAGCACTTCGTACTGTACAAGGCGCAAAGTACTAGTACAATAGAGAGATTTCGCAAACATGCCGTTGCCAGTGCCGGAGCCACAACCTTTGGGACTTGATAATTGTACGGCAAACCTCTGAATCATAGTTTTGCTTGCGGCAGCAACGGCCAATTGTACGGAGAGTCATGCCATAGCCAGAAACAGCCAAAGCCAAATGATCAACACGGACAAGCGTCGCAACTGGACCCAAGAAGACGACATTGCTCTCCTCATTCAAGTGGCAGCCGATCGTCCATTCACTGCTGAGAAAGGACAACTTAAGAAAGTATGGCAAGCACTTGCTTACCCTCATGGCTTGCGAGCACTTCGGCCGTGTCGTAGACGGCAAGAAGGTACAACATCGATTTCTGACTCTCGTCGACGAGCATCGCAAATTTGATGCAGCATCAGCACGTCTTTCTGGTGTTGACGAAGAGGAGAAAGAGAAGCATATGCTTCTCGATGACATCGTCACCTTGATGGACGACCTCAAGACCGATCAGCAAAAGCACTCCCAAGTTCAAGACGAAAAGAGAAAGTTGAACAAGGTGGGCTTATCGTACGCGAAATGGCCATGAAGACGATGAAGCGACGAAACGATGTTGATGGCTATGACGCTCAAAAGCGTCCTGCACTTGAGAACCGTCGCAACAGTCTGGCTGTTGCGACGGTTCTCAAGATTATGGCTGAGAGCGAACGTGAATTGATTGCTCGTGACAAGGACCTCGACTTCCCGCGCCACAAATTTGAGTCTGAACTTAAACATTCGATAGCATAATCTTCTGCTCCATTTTGTATGTAGTAAATCCCTAAAGCGTTTTCATTCGCCGAAAGTTCCACTCAACGCCTTGGCGAAATCGGCTCATGGGTGTGTTAAAACGTTGTTTTGATTCGTCCGAGTTGCTCCCCTTGCAGCCAGACACAAGCCACTTCGAAATGGGATAAGCAGGGTCCCCGTAAATTTAATACCCACAAAAATGTCCGAATTGGCCTCAAAGTACTCTTGCAGCCGACTGATGCGCAGCAACATCACATCATGTCGACTGCCCTCCAAGGGCCCGAAGAAGTGGATACAGAGACCATCAGGAGTTGTCAACCCTTGGAAGTTTAGGCAATGCATGCGTTTGTGGCCTGAGTAGGTCCGCTTTTGCAAGTTCAATCCGGCAGCGCCATTGGCAGAGGCACTGATGCGACAAGTTTCAATCTTGGTTCCATCGGGAAATGCCCAGACATTTGAAAGTGGTGACCCTTTTGCATGGATGGCGCTGGCATACTGTGCGATTCGGGCACGAACAATGCGCTTGTTGCAGTAGATGATCTCTCCAGGAGTTGAACACGAACGCCACCATGTGATTCAATATACGGCAAATTTGTTCGCGCGACCGACCAAATGTTGAGAGCATGTCGTAGAAGGTAATGGGGTAACGGAGGCGTTTCAGCAGAATGACCATGGCTTCCACATCAGTAACACGGTCACGTGATGATGTAATCACAACGTTTGGTACCCCAAGCAAGGACGTGAGCTGTAGAACTCCTGCGACGTCGAAACGAAACGAAAGCACAGCATCAGCATCACGCATGTTGACGTCGAAACTGATGGCTGGGATCAATGGTCGTTCCACAGGAATGCCAAGGCCAAACTCCAGAAGCATTGTTGTTGTAGCAGGAGTTAGCTTCTTCCGCTATGCCCATTTGTAAACCCGGAGAGCAAGGGTGGACTCTTCTGTACTCATGGCAGAAAGGATGGAAGTGTGAAGATTTACTGCATCAAGGTACGATCTAAAAATAGATGCAGCAATGGCAGCCATTTTGCGAAATGACCAAAACAGCCTTGCCGTTGCCGTTGCCCGATCGGATTCTGGTTCTATGGCACTGGCTACAGCTCGTTTGCGAAATCTCTCTGATATTACTCACTACCGGTACTTCGTAGGTGAGTACTACAGTAGTATTAAGAATATGAGTACTGTACAGTGTACTGTGTATTGTTCTTCTGTCAGTCAAATTTGCGGGGGATTGATGAAATCGCCAAGTAATCGAGCAAAGGAGTATGATTGGCTACAAAGAATAAAGGTTGCAATTGGATTGGCTAAAAAGATTGATTGTTGTATTACAGTCACAAAGATTGTGGTAATTCGATTTCAAATTGGACCGGGGCTTGCAATCGAGTCGACGAAGCAAAATCGACGCAGTAATCGACGGACCGAAGTAGCTAATGAAATGTTCGAAATAAGACCTTTCGACCAATCATATTGCAGGTGGGTGTTTTCGGTGCATTACCAAGCTTCTTCATTTCACAAAGAGTTCAACATTGCATCGGACAGGAGTCACAGTAAGTAGATTTAGTTCAAGTAAAATGCCGTCTCGACGATTTCAGGTGGATTTGACGTCGTTCGTCGAATCTACCGAAAATACCAAATCGAGCTTGAAAGCACAATATCTCGTTTTATTTGAATATGTCGAAGTTCCGGAATTGATTGTTTGGAGGTTCATTCATCCAATCGCGAGAGGAAATTTTGAGTCCTTCGAACACACGCATGATAACTCGAGACGGAAATTTTGAACCAGCGACAAGGGGAAATTTGTACTAACGTTAGTATATTACAGTGTATTTCGAGCAATTTTTGGAGAATCTTCAAAATCCGCAAAAATAATGTAAAAGTATAGATAATATGGCGGATACGACAAATCCATCCGACAAAAATCTGATTGGCCAATAGTGATAAAATGAAATGGATATTTAAAGTGCGATCCAAGAAGTAGAGGAAATACCCCCTCTACTTACATTGGTCCGCCAGGTTTCCCTATTAGGCATGAATCCCCGCAAAATAAGGGCACCATTCATCGTAATTAGTCCCGAGTTCAATCCTCGCCGACGTCGCAATATTAAATATACTAGTATGACTTGCAAATTTAAAATGTATTTACATGATATTCAATCGCTTCCTACGCCAAACCTCATGTAGTACCTTTGCGTATGAGTTCGTGAACCCTTGATATGATGCATCGAACTGCTGAAATGTTTGGTATTTGCTGAACGCAGTTGCCAAAGTGAATCGCTCTGAATACTTCTTCCTGTCCATACGTATCATCTCCTTCGTGTAGTCCTTGAGAGCGCACACCAGACCAATGGCAGGGTCTGCAACGAACCACTGCTGCCAAGCTTCCAGCGCCGACCGAGCCGTAGGTATCGACTTCTGGGAAACAAACTGATCCATCGAACTCTGTCGCATAGGCTTTGCCGAGCCTTTGCTGCCGCCAACAGCCTGACCATGCAAGTTCTTGGCCAGCGCTTGGTTAACGTCCTCGACGGAGAACACCAATCCGCCCGACGCAGCACCACCGCCGTTCTGTCATTGAATGTGGCTGGCGTCACTGCTGGTTCGCAGCAAATTCCATGGGTTAATTTCGTTGCTGATACTCTGAGTAATAAGATACTCACAGCATGTTTTAGCATCCGCCCAACGTCACCAAGACATCAACTCACGGAAGTTGAATCGACGCTCCTTGGACTCAAAGACGCGGAAGAACGCGCCACCGCGCCGGAGGCTGTGCAGGGTAATGCCGATCGGTAAGTTTGGTGTTATCTCAACTACGTCGACAAGGATTCGACGTAAGTTGACTTGCTCGAGGCTGCGGCTCCATTCAACTTTTGGGACACCGGACTGCTGAGTGACGAAGGTCGGAAACACGAAGGTACTACTGTTGATGTTGACACCGGCGCCTCTCACCTTGGACAGGTATTAGTCGTAGAAGCCACAAACGTGCAAGCATGGAAACGTCGATTCATCCACGAGATGATATACTTGGCTATCCTCTTCGACATTTGCCTTCTTGTGCCAGCGGAGTCGCACGGAAAGGTATCGTCCTTTCTCGTCCCCAACGATTTCGACATCATTCCACCGTAGAGCCAGCACCTCACTGATTCAGAAGCAGCCGATGAAGCCAACTGCCAACAGGAGCCGTAGCATAGCCCCAAGGAACGGATGAAGGTGCGCCAGGGAGTTCATCAGCGTCGACAGCTCGTACACGGTAAGTGGATGTGCCTTCTCTTCTTCATCGACGTTATTCTGTTTGTTGTACTTCTGCAGCCCAACAATGTAGCGTCGAGTGGTTAAGTCCTGGGCTGGGTTCGATGCCACTCCAGCTGCAGCAAAGTATGCGACCAGAGCTGACTTGGCCAAGTCAATGGTACGAGCTTTTCGTCCCTGGGTGTACATGTGGTGGAAGAAGTCAGTGTATTCCTCCGTGCCTGCCTCTCGGGGGTCAATGCCCTCCTTGTGCATTCGAAGGAAAGCTTCGAACTGCTTCTGATACGTTGTGTAGGCACGCCTCGTGGACGCCCCGTGGAACGAATCTTGGATGGACTTCTTCGACGCCACCATTATCAGCTTTGTCGGCGCCATTTTGGATGGTCGTGGTGGTTATAAAACTGCTGTCTTGTTATTTCAATCAATATAATCGTGTTATTCTCAATGTTCTCTGATATGCTGCTGAACGACATCGCGGTCGACCAATCCGTTGCTTGTAAACTTTGTCTTCCAATCATATTTCAACTTCATGTCGTTTCACCAATCACCGCTGGAAAATTTGTCGTTTACATGTCGGATGGTACTGACATGTACATTTGTCTCAGATGGCTGTGTTTTAATATAATGTACATTTGGTTTTTGACCAATGAGAGTCACAAATATATTCAGCCAATCAAAGCAAAAGGTGTTTCATCGAAATGCATCTATATAATTGGTGGATATCTACCAATCAAAAGCTGTATACGACACACAGCATCCATTTAATTGGCGGAAAATATCTTGATCAAAGTGGGTGCGACTATTTTAGTGGTTGTTATTATGTCATTTATGATCGAATCGCTTTATTTAAATAACAGGTGGATCAGAACAAACGCCAGCTTTCGGCAGCCAATCGTAATTCGCAATTTGGCCCAGTGGTCGCCGTGATAGGCCAAATTTCCTCAAATGTACACTATAATAAAGCACAGAGTAGGTAGTACTAAGCTTACGTGCTTCCAACAGCAACTTTGCATCCGATGGTTGGCTGGCTTGCTTTCGTAAAGTAGAATGCCAATTGTTGCAATACAACTTTTTTTGTTTTTCGGAGAATCGCCATAATTCCTGATTGACAGTGAGGCATCCTTTTTGAATCCTTAAAAGTCCTAAATTGTAGACAATTTTTAGGGCAATCCCCCAATTATCAACGTGCAATGTATTTCGCACAATTGAGCTGTATACAGCTCTTCATATATGCTAAGTAAGAGGTGATTCATGTAATTCCCGGCCAGCTTGGTCTACTTTTTGAGTGCCATAACTCGTCACCCATTCATCCGATGAGGCTGCAAAAACATGCATTTTGAAGGTCGTGACGAGCTTTATAACTTTATGCAGGTCCCATCATTTGTATCGCATGGTCAATTTGCTCGTCGAATTTCTAAAATTGAAATTTCCCTGTGTGAATTTAATTCCCGGCCAGTAAGTCACTTGAATAATGTATGCCTGATTTGGGTGACAAATCCTCAGAACCTCTTAATAATAATATGTATAAAGTATTCAAGTAATTAAATTTAGAAGTGCAACTAGTATAAAAACTGTATAACATGCCGGACAAGCATAATATTAAATCTTACAAGTATGTGTGATACAGGAGTACGTAATTTCGTCTAATCATCGTCGATGGATGATTAGACCACCAAACTTGAGACTAAGTTTTTCACCAACCATCGACTATTTTACAATTTGACAAAGAACGTTTGTTTGTGACTTTGTCAAAAGCATATGATGAAGTCAATTGTTAAAAACACACGCATTCGCAAACATCTCACCACTTGAACAAGGATCGCCTGACATCTGGTTCTGTCTGTCATTGATCAAGGTATGAGTGCATTTGGAAATCACTCGATCATTTCCGATCAGACAACATTTCGTTCGTTGAATATTGAGCAGTCTAGCGAAGTGATTCGTCATCGCATCTAAACTCCTTGAAGAGAATACTTCTCAAAACTGATAGATAAAAACTTGAATAATGGGATAAAGGCCGCCAAGTCCATCAAAATCGATGCTAATATTGGCGCGCAAACGCGTCAGAGAGGCTCCACGAGCCATTCATTTCAAAAAAATTCTTCGATGTGCGATGTTACCGGACGGGACATGCTCTTCATGGCCGTCACGTCCATGAAGCACTGCGGCACGTGGGACGTCGTCGCCACCATGTTCGCTGCAGCCTCGCCTACGTTCTCGAAGCGGGTCATCACCTTCCTCGTGGTCATCCATCCGCACCTCAAGACCAAGTACATCGACAATGTTGGCGCCAAGTGGCTCATGGAGCAGCTCAACTCGACGGGCCAGCGCTTCGCCAACTTTCCGACAGCGCTCTACGCTGTGGACGTGACCTTCCAAAAGACCAATGCATCGGCGGGGACATTCAGCGAGAAGATGTACTACATCAAGAAGCACGGTCATTATGGGCTGAAGGTCGAAGCGAGCGTCGTACCCACTGGATTTGCCATCAACGTCACGGAAGCTGTGCCCGGGAGCGTCGCCGACATCAGCATCTTCGAGGCCAACGAGGCCTTCCACGCGGACAAGATGCGCAAGACCGATGCCGAATGCGACATGCCCGATGCCGGCCCTATGCTCTACGACTGGGCCATTTTGGCAGACAAGGGGTACCAAGGGCTCCACCGTCGCATGCGTGCCATCACCCCGGCGAAACGGCCCCCTGGCGGCTTGCTCACTATGAGCGACATGGAGTACAACGACAACATTGCTACCGACCGCGTGATCGTTGAGAACTACTTCGGTCGTTTGAAGACGCTGTGGGCGATCGTAAACGAGTCCTACACGTGGAAGCGAGAGAACTACGATCTCTACCTTCAAACTTGTGTTGCGTTGACTAATTCTCACATTCGTTTTTCTCCCTTGTGGGTCGACGACAGCCATGAACGCAACCGGTATTTGAACGCCCTCATGTCTTCGAGTGAAAAGAAGAAAGCCAAGCGTGTCGTTGCAGTTAAAAAACATCGCGAGAAGCGCAAGTTGCGTTTGGGCACGTTTTTGCCGAGTGGTGAAAATGCCTACTTCGATTCGGACACTGAATTTTACCCAAGTGGTGACGATAGTGGAATTTTTGAATAGAAAACGTTCGATCAACAACTTACCAAAGTGCTTTACGATATCACCTCACACAATGGAAACCACTTGGAGCGATTGGAAATGACTGCGTCTGTTACGAAATAGCCAATCACAATGTTTTATACGACACAATTTCGGAAGTCACTTCGTCAATTCCGAATGTGCTGTGCACTGTGTGAGTGACCCAATAATTGGTTGAGTGGTCTATTGTGATTGGCCATTTGCTGGCCGGGAATTGCATGCTGGCCGGGAATTACATGAATCACCTCTATAAAAGTCGTGTACCAATTGTTGACGTACAGAATTATTTAAACCTTCGGTGTTGTATGGGTACGAGTATACATATTCAGTGGTTAGGGATCAGTGATTGGCTTAGTTTAACGTTAGTACTACTAGTTACTGCGAAGATACAGTAGTAGTAACGTTATACAATTCTCAAGGTCCCGACGAGTTTCCGTCGTCTTCATCTCCAAACTCGGATGCTTCCAGTACAATCGGCCCCACAATCGTACCAATCTCGTCCAAGCTGCGGTGGTGGCGGCGGTGGTGATAATAGTACTCATCTCCTTCTTCCATCAAAGGATGGGCATCGTCGCTGCTGCTGCCGGGGGTGGTCTTGGCTCGGTCTCGGCTACTACTGCCGCTACTACTACTACTACTACTACTAGTACTAGTACCTACTACGACGACTCGTGGTTTGTCGAGGTGGCGGGGGTTGGTAGTTGACGATGCCGACGAAGTCGAAGTCGATGGCGGTCGCGCGCTACTGCCGCCTTCCGTGGATCGAGATGCTGATATCGACAATGACGATTGCATTAACGGTAGCAGTTCCATCACATTTCCCCGGGCCTTGTACTCTTGCAGATTCGGCTTGAGGGCGCAGCTGCTGCATATGCGCACTGTCGTGGGAATTCCCGCCACAACCAATGGCCAGTGCTTGCAGCACGTGTGGCACATGACTTCACCACAGAGCCGACATCGGCATTTCTTGACAAATACGCGGCGGAAGGCACATTGGCAGAGGAAGCATTTCGTTCGGGTATCTTTCGGTACGAGCTGGTCGGGGGTTCGAAACGCGGCTTGGCTGAGGCGGTTCAGACGAAGCTGATGGCCCACCTGGCGAAGTCCCTTGACCCGCGTCGCCATGCCGCGCTTGTAAATCCATGGCGGAAGCTTCGTCTTCCCCAATGGATCCACTTGCACCACATGGGTCACCTGGACGTACCCTGGGCGGCGGCTGCCGAGCTCGGTGAACACAAAGCCAGACGGGTACAGCAGACCCCGGACGTATCCATGGGAGTCCTGTAGATCTGGACACCCGCTGACGGTTACCGACATCTTGGCCACGACAAACCCTCGGTGACCAGCATGTTCAAACTCGCCTTGGCTCTACACATGGAGATCAATCCATTGTTCGAACAACTCGATGGGATGGATGATGATGGCTCTTCGAACCTGGAGAAAGCAAAAGTCGCGGGGGTTCGCGAGGGCTGGCGCTGGACTCTGAAGCACGCTCCAATACACCCCGACATCCGGGTTTAACGTGTACAACTTGTAGCAGTCGAGGACGTCTGACGCCAACGCCTTGTGGTTGCGCTCGTACTCGACCGGAGTGTCCCCTGCGAACAGAGCCGCGGCTTCCTCCAACGTCGCCTGCACCTCGGTGATCGTGCACCACGTGTTGGCCATATTGGTCGCGTCGTTGCCTTGGTACATGACCACGTCCGCGTCGTCCGTGGCTAACGTCCAGTGGATGCTTCCGTTGTCGAGCTGTGCACGTCGGATCACCTGGATGGGCACTTGAGACGCCAGCTGCAGAAGGTACTCCGTCTCCGAGTCGGCAAGGGGGCCACAACGGAATAGCGACCGCGGCACCAACACGCTCGACATGATGGCGTCGGCCGACGATACTGTTTTCTGCGCCGAGAACGGGGTGTCTGTCGTTGGACAGGACTTCAAGGGATGTAAGCAACACAAATGCATTTATTTTGTGTTTTTGGCTGAGATTAACCGGGTCTGTATTGGACTGGTATTACGGACATACAATATAGTAGTTACACGATGCTTACTTCGCGTGCATCTATTGCACATGGATGAGGCTGGCTTTTTTTTTGCGGCCACCATTTTTTTACCAATAGTTTTTGAGATAATTGGGGGGGGTACATTTTCTGGAACGACTCGAGGATTTGTAGTGTACTACTACAGTAATAATATTACGGTAGTACAGTACACTACTAGTACTTTTTAGTAGTACTACCTCCGATTCGAAATGATTGATAGGTTTCACTTTTTGGGCTTTGAACAATTGTATCTCAGTCAAAATAGGTTATTACCTTGACAATTGGTATCTGTACTTCCATGTATTTTAATACATGGAAGTATACCAATTGTCAAGGCAATAGTATTTGAATGCTTTGAGAGTCCTAAAATTATGGTCAAAATCAATCAGGAATGATGCTCAATTTTAACTGTGTTTCCGTATAATTCTATACACCTATATCTGATTTCTCCTGAACTTATCGGATTATAGAGGTTTACGTGTAGATATGTGGTACAGCAAATTTCTTAATACCTGTATAATATAATAGTATTTGTACGTAACCAGTAAACCTATCAATGATTTCCAATCGGAGGTACTGTAGTACTACTGTACAGTAAGTAGTACTACGTAGTACATGAACAGCGAAAACAACGTACAGCCTACAGTAACGTTATTAGAAGTAACTTCCAGTTACTCTTAGTACTTATATTAATAGTACAGAGCAAAGGTGTGCTGTAAGCTTACCGGTATTGTTCACAGTCAGTAACTTTGAGCCATCTTCCAGAGGAAACTATACTAACTACTAACTGTGCAAGTATCACAAACCTTCGGAAGCAGTGTTTGGCGATGATTTATGCCTTACTGTACCTACAGAGAGACCATGAATTTACAACAGCATTTCAAGCATCTACAATTATACTCCGGAGTAGAATCCAGAATCGACAACTTCAACTTATCCACATGTTGCATACATTTCCATGTACCTTACCATTTCCAGCTTCGTACGCATTTGCCCGTACCCTTGTACTAACCCCGAAACCCCTTGTGTTTACGTATTATGTGTTTTCGTGTAATGCCTGTTCCCGAGGTTATGTTGCATCGTCAGTGCTGGGCTAACCACTGTCCATGCGCATACTGTACGGTAACCCCTAAATACATAAGTGTGTGTAGCAGGTGTTGACATACCGATCAAACTGATCCTGATATTCAAT